TTTTTTGGTAATATCATTTTAAATAGGAAAGCAGTTAGCTATGATATAGTCGGTTACATATTACTATTATTATCAAACTTTAGAAACTAATAAAAAAAATATGTGGATACAGTTTAAAGTTTAATATATTTTACGATTTTTCCTGGAAGTATTTACATTCTCAGTAAAGATTATAAAAAAAAATATTTATATATTCGAGTTTACATATTAGGAATAAATATAAAGAAAAATATATTGTCTATATTAAGTTCTCATGAAGATCTATAGTTGAAAACAATTAAAACTTCAAATTAGTTGNGTAGTCACCTTAATTATATTTTGAGAATCTCAATAATTATTTTCTATCTTACAATTTAAATATAGTATAAAAAATAAAATGTGACATAAATTATAATACTAACTATATAAAAGGTGAAGTAAACATTTTTGTTTGTATAAGAGTGTGTAGAACTATACAACATTTCACAACCGGCTCGTTATTATTATATTTTATTATCGTACACAAGATATGCTACTAACTTATATATCTATTATCACCAAACAAAGGTTTTGATGTTATTGTTCGTATAAGTTTGATTGTCGATCTCAATGAACATGCTTGCTTCGATCTTGAAATAAATGTTAGACATATATAGGTACAAACCAGCCAATTGTGAAGGTTTGTATAATGTTAGATATATCTATAAACCAATTGGTTCATTATTATTGTGAAGGATTGTGTGTACACGTCAATATTTTTTTGGTAAGTGAATAATCCAATTATTTTTTTATAAATGTATTGATTGATTTATAGTTAACTAATTTTCACTGGCATGCCATTATAATTTTTGAGGAAAATTAAGGGATATTTCCTATTTGTACATCCATTTTAATAGATTAGACTAGGAGTAAAAGCTTTCTATTAGTTGGTAGGTATAAATGATTTGAGCCACAAAATTGAGATAGTTGTAGATTTTTGTTTTGTGTTTAAAAACTTATCGAATCAAGAGTGGCTGACGGGTGGGACGTTCGCTGCCGGAGAAATTTATCTGCCGACGAAAGAATGCTGGGGCCCTGCGGTGGGTTGGGTTCCGGACGGTGGAGCAAACCCGTATGGCTGTGGTCGATGTTGCCCCCACCACATCTCTCTTCATTTCTATTTCTTGTCTTATTTGTAAAAAAAATAAGTGTTTATGTACAAATATATATACTTCCCTTAGTTATCGTTTTAATATCTGTTTTCTTGTTTTCGTTAGGAGAAATTTTAGTGGCAGATGTCGCGGTCAAGTTTTAATTGATTTTGTAGTTAGTTTTTTTTTGAAAAAGACATAATTTTTGTAGTAGTTTGTTATATAGCAATAAGGCCTACGATCATGACACCAATATTTTATGTTACAATTATCCCAAATCTGATGTTTTGATATCATATTTTTCGTCATTTCTAACTATAACATCACAATTACACCAAAATAATATTATATATTATTTAATATTTTCAGTTTTAAAAATTTTAATATTTGTAATTAATAAATAATTATTTTATCATACTTATATATTATGTTTGTTAAATTTTGTAATTTTATGTTTATAAAATTCATTTACATTTATATTTAAATTTTTACAATAAAATAAAAAATAATAATCATTTAATGATTTCTTACTTGAATTTTTTTTTTAATTATGTACAAATGATTAAAAATACAAATAATACAGTGTATTTATGATTTAATTGCAAGATTAAACTAATTAATAATAATAACTGAACTATATTATTAAATGAAATTTATTAAAAATATGAATATTAAGGTGTGATGAATAGTGTTATATCAAATTTGGTGGAACACTATTCATTATATACCAACTTTGATGGGATGATGTAATATTTAGTGTTTTATTGTAAATAAAATTACACAAATTTTGATGTTTTGGTGTCTTATTAGAGTTAGCTTAACAACTTGCAATTTTTAAGAGATAATCATTATAATCTGTTCAGAACTTTTTATGTTCTTATAATTAACAAGGTTTTCTTAATGTATAGATCCAAGTATCATATTTAAAAAGGACTTTAAAATATAAATATTTCCCGGCCATAGTAAGCAATGTTATCAGTATAGCTAGCCCTACAGTTTGGAAAAGACGATAGAATCGACAGTGTAACAAAGTTTGATGGATTGACTTCTCTAAACAAACGATCGATTGTCTTTGGAGCAAGTTAAAATCTCCGAAGATTGAACTCAATAATTTAATGTTGGATTAAGGTGCACGTTTTTCGGACTCAATTCCAATTACCGTGTGATTGTTAACTCTAGTCTGAATAGTGTAATAATGTTTTTCTTTGTATGAACTTAGAAAATATTTTAAGATTTTAAAGGTATCTCTATTCCCATTCTATAATTTACTCAAAAATAGAGTAACTTAAGGAGCAGAGATGGAAATGCTCTAATTTACTTATTAGACGATGTCAATGAATTTCTTTTATTTTTTTCATTGAATACATGTAGAAGATGAATCAGTGATTTCAGAAGAACATTAAAAGATGCTAAATTAAAACTTAAAATATTGTTAAGAAAAACAAAATTCTAGAAGCTTGTATAATTTGATGTGATGTCCGATAGTACTTGTGTTAGTCATGTTATTCCTAAAAAGGTTCCATAATCGTGGTTAAAATTAACAAAAATGAATTGCTTGCAACTAGATATGTTACATTCAATACGATGTGTATAAATTACTGAAAATTGAATAATGCAACTCACAAAGACTATTTTACATTACCTTATTTTGATCATATGCTTGATAGATTCACTAAACATACTTACTATTGTTTCTAGATGGTTATTAATACTTGTACTTGTACATGGTCTTGCAGTGCAGTGTGGAGGGACATATATATTGAGAGATGCCATTCTATTGTGAGAGATGAGATCTTGTTAGGACATGGGATTTCGAAACAAGTAATTCCAAGCATAAAATCAAGGTTATTATGAACCTACAACTCTCAATTTCAGTTAAAGGGATACACAAATTTTCTGGATCAGGTTAGGTTTCAGAGGATTATTAAGGAATTTTATAAAATAGTGAGACCTCTTATTACTCAGCTGATGTAGAAGGAAGTTAAGTTCAACTTAAATAGTGCCTACTTGGATACTTTTCCATACGACCGAAGAAGCTTTGATTAATGCTCCGATAGTGCAATCACCAGATTTGGATCTCACTTTCGAGGTCATAACAGACGCCAATGATTAAGCAGTGAGAACATACAAAAGGCTTTATGTGATTTATTATGGGAATTGAATTTCTTGATGAGGCAAAGTGTCGATAAGTGACGACCGAGCAGGACTTTCTTAACATAAGATTGCATTAGATTCTTCTATGCCAAGATTTTGATTTGAAAATCAAGGACAAGAAGGGGATCAAAACTGGTGCCGCATATCACTTGTTCAAGATGAAGGTTGTGCACGAGATGCCTCTGAGAACATCCTTCAAGGTGAACACGTTTAAGCAATAAATGTACAAAGTAAAATAGGGCCCCCGCTCTAAGCAAGAAATGAGTATACAAAAATAAAATAAAAAAAATCAGTGACATATATCCTAAATCACATGACAAATGTTATTTATATATAATCTTCATGTTTTAATTTTTTCTTATCATCACTTTATTGTATATATGTCCAATGGAGCGTAAATATGTTACAAAAGAAGTAAGTACAGTACCGACCCAGATAAAACTCAATACACGATTATACACACATGTATACAAAGACATGAAAAATATTAGGTGATGTCATCATGAGCCTCCACCGTCGCTACTTCATTTGGTAATCGGATTTTGCAATGTTACCAGAAGTCCAAAATTGACAGTTCGTTAGCCTAAAACATTTGGGTTTTGCTTCCTCGCACGTCTCATTTATCTTTCCAGTTTCTCAGGGGACAAAGTGAAGTATGAGATCTTAATTAGTATCAACAAGCAAAGTGACCTTGAACAAGCTTAGCAAGATCCAATCCGCCATGGGAGTACCAGCGTTTTTACAGATAGCGACGTCGTGGTGATGGTTTACACTTGTTCAAGTATTTTACCAAAAAAGAATTAGTGGTGCTGTTAGTTTTTCATCATTTAATGGATAGTTTGTGTACCGATTATGTTGTTACTTTTATTTCCATGAAGATTTTGCTAGCTTTATCTTACATGATATAAAATGCAGCCTGCACCTGCCACATACGATGATATGTATTCAGATCAATGTTTGAGTACATTACTTGACTATCTATTTACTCTAAGTGCGTCCTAGGAAGGCTCTTTATTCCTAGGAAGGCTCTTTATTCGGCTATGGGAGATATCTGCTTCCTTCTTCTCCCTTGTCTCTGTGAGATGTTATCTGATTTAGGTATGATGTTGCTGATGGAGTTGCACCCTGAGCAAAGATGAATTAGAAGCATAGGTTTAAGTTGAGGAACATCAAAGATTGTATTTGTTTAAACTCAAGTTTTGTTATGTGTAATGGTTTCTGTTGTAGCAATGAGATATCAAAAGGTTCAAAATCTCAGTTTGAGGTTTTCCGAGTGTTTAGTTATAGAAAGAACGTTTAACGGTTACTTTTTGAGTAACCAGATAGTAAAATGTTGCAAAGCCAAGAGCAATGATTGCTCTAATACTATACAATAAAGTCTTTAACAAAAAGAAAGTCCAACCGTATGAACATTTGCTGCATCACACTATTATAAGCTCAAACTTACAATCATCTGGACACCATCCTTCGATGTCATGCCCCACCTTAAGTATTTCTTCCTCTGGAAAATCCTCGTCCTGGTCGCCGTCCATGTGCAAAACAACATTTTCCAAACGCCTTGCATTCGATAGGATGTATTTGGCCACTTCTTCCCCGTATATTTCTTCTTCCATTTACGTACCAACACAATGTCTTAAGAAGGAGCAAACATTGAGGAACATGTTTAGGTTGCTTCCATGTCAGTTCAACATCGTTTTCCTAAAACCAAAAAACCATTTATATTAGATCATCTAACTCTTAAACCAAGCTGCTGCAATATTTTTTATGAAAGGTGGAACTTGCAATGCTTACACTGAAGATATCTAGAACTTGTAAATTAGGAGAGTTATCAAGCATAAACCTTAGTAACTTCCAGGACTCTGGATCAGATGTAAGCAGCTGCAAATATTCCAGTTGATTGAAGATGCTACCAGCAGGGATCTTAAATATATGCATTAAGCAGTATTAGTAATAATCCCATAAACAATGTAACAACAACAAAAAGAAACTTAGTTCATTACAAGAAAACCATACCTCCATGCGTGACATTCTCAAGGAAAGGCGTTTGACTGAAGTGAGTGATTCTCCAAATACACCACGGGTCCAAATTTTAGCCTCGACCAGCTCAGGTGCATTAATCATCACTAAGTCAGGTCTTATGGTCTTGGCAATAGAGTTAATCATCAATTTTTTTTCAAAGAAGGAGAGTTTATCACATAATTAGAATCACTAACGACGTCATCTTCTATGGTTAGCTCTTGTAAAGATGGCACAGCAATAGTGAAAGTATCCACACCATCACAACCCCATCGAGTAACAAACAAATCTTCAAGACTAACACAGCCAGCTAAGAATTTCACAACGGATTCATCGTCTTGGTAGAACAAATCTTCAAGGTGCAGAGTTCTAAGAGACTTGAGACAAACTGGAGAAGGGACTTGTAGAGCAATGGAGCCAAACTTACCACGGAGTTTCAAGGTTTCCAGTGCACACCGGATATATCGGAAGAGGATTGCTCGTATTGTTTGTCTCAGGGTATTGCAAAGATTCCGAGCTGTTGTGATATGAAAATGGGGAGTTATGTGTTGTCTCCTAGCTGTATGGTTGCTTATGCTCCTTGGAGATTTTATGATCCAGTGGACACTAATGAGCTAAGCTCAGCGCCTTCTAAGCCAACTAGGACTCAACGGAATGAGACGAGTAGTGTCGCACAGGGTATATCATTTGTTATGTATTTGAATTCTAGGATTTAAAATCAGACTGTTTAGCATGTGTTACAGTATGAGAATTTAATCATTTTAGGTAATAATCATTATGTTTTTTCTTTTGTTGAAACATTTTACCTTGGCCAAGTGAAACATCCATATGCAAACTCTGTAGATACAGAGCCTCAAGAGAAAGCATAGTCCTGCGAATAAACCCCTCAAGATCATTGCCACCATTGCAAATAAACTTGAGACTAGGCACCATATTCCATATAGACCGCCACTGCTTAGATAGAAGAGTGGTGGCCACTACTTTTGTTGTTGGAAGTGAAGATAAGATCTTCACAAGCAAAGCGTCTGGCAATTGACTGATCCTCTCCAAGCTGTAATAATAAAAATATTGGAGCTGCTTAGAGTTTGAGAAACACATGGTTCATTGAACTAATCAGTTACATAATCGAAATTACTACCTTGCTTCCATTGTGGTTGCTAGAGAGAGAGAGAGAGTTTAGGAGCAGAAGCTAAAAATTTCGTAAACCCTAATTTCAGCGACTGATAGAGACAAGAGAAGAGTGCTTTGTCTGCGCAATGTTAGGGAGCAAGAGATTTATTTTTAATAGTAGTAAACCCTAATCATCATATGTTCCTGCAGACATAACACATTCAAACCCAAAGATGTCAGCTTTAAGATCAAAGTAGAGTGTTAACACCAAACCCAACAAAACAATGTATAAAACTACTTTAACCGAGAAAGCTTAGAACTTTCGTAAACCCTAATATCAGAGACTGATAAAGAAGAAGACAATCGTAAACCCTAATCATCATCTGTTCCTGCAGACATCACACATTCAACCAAAAAAGGTTTCAGCTTTTAAGATCAAGGTAGAGAGTTAACACAAACCCAACAAAACCCACAATGTATAACTCTACTGGAACGAAGAAAGGTTGAAACTTTCGTAAATCATAATTTCAGCGACTGATAGAGAAGAAAACGAGAGAAGAGTGTTTTGTGTACATAATGTTAGGAGAACTAACCGCTCCTATCAAACGACTCGTATTTCATCACGAAGCTTTGATCCCCGATTCTTGAAAGACACAAAGAGCAACAATTCGAGGGGGTTGATTTCAATTGAACTAGAACCAAGACTCGATTTTTGCTTCAGCAGCTTTTTATCTTATCTACTCGGAACAGAAGAGCACGTAACAAAATTTTGTCTATCAAAAATAAAGATGGTGTTGATCTTAAAGGAAATAAAGCCATTGCTACGGAAGCCGTTCAACTACACAGCTCGATGAGGTTTTGAGGAACATTGATTGTGTAGTAACAGACGATATGAATCAGGTATTGACTAAAGACCTAACAGATTCTGAAATTAAAAAAAGTGTATTCTCTATTGGTGCCAATAAAGCACCTGGTCCGGATGGTTTCACGGCGGCTTTTTTCCCAAGATATTGGGATATTGTTGGCCCGGTGGTGATAAAATAAGTACGGGAGTTCTTCGAGACAGGTATTATGGATCCAGAGACAAATCACACAAACCTTTGTCTGATTCCTAAAGTTGACAACCCGCAAACAATGAAAGATTTTAGACCAATATCTTTATGTAATGTTACATATAAGATCATCTCGAAAATTTTGGTGGGGAGACTCAAAGGAATTTTATCAGAGCTCGTAGCAGAGAATCAAGCAGCTTTTATCCCTGGACGTCAGATTACCGATAATATTATTCTCGCACATGAAGCTTTTCATGATTTAAAAGTCAGAAAACAGTGTTCTACTAATTTTATGGCTGTTAAAACAGATGTAAGTAAAACTTATGATCGCTTGGAATTGAATTTTATTGAGAAGGTTTTACATAAGAAGGGTTTCTCAGAATATTGGATTTCTTTGATCAAAGCATGTGTCACCACCGTGTCTTTTTCTGTATTGATTAATGGGAGTTCTTATGGCAATTTCTCCACTTCGCGAGGACTACGACAAGGTGACCCTTTATCACCTTATTTATTTATTCTTTATGCTGACGTTCTATCTTCACTTATAAAGCAAGCAGAATCAGATAGAGTTATTTTACACTTATCTGTTGGAGGTCCACCTATATCACATCTCCTCTTCGCAGATGATTCCCTTTTCTTCCTCAAAGCTAATCAGCAGAATGCAGAGGCTTTACGGGCTATCTTCCAAATTTATGAAAAAGGTTCCGGGCAACAAATAAATCTGGACAAGTCATCGATAACGTTCGGCTCCAAGGTTTATGATCATACTCGGTTAAGTATTCAAACCACACTAAACATTCCAAATATTGGTGGTGGGGGAAAATATTTGGGCAACCAAATAATAGAGATCATCTCTATTATTTGGTAAAGAAATATTACTGCAGGGGATACAATATGGTATTGGGAATGGGGAACAAACTCTAATATCTTCTAACTGGATTCCTACGTTACCACCAAGGGCTCCACGTCTTTTACCTCCACACAAATCCGACATTACCAGTACACGTTCTTATCAATCATGAGACTCAACAATGGGATCGTCAGGAATTAATGGATCTCATTGAACATGATGATCACCATTTGATAATGAAAATCTGTCTTCCTACCAATTATCTACAAGATTTTATTATCTGGCCTTATACTAGAGATGGTGTATACATGGTGCGTTAGGGATACAGATTTATTAAGGGTGCAGAATCAGTTGTTGATCAACCCATCCCCCCCTCTGTATCCATATCCAGATATATCGAAATCAATATGGAAAATTGATACAACTACAAAGATTAAGCAATTTTTGTGGCGATTGCTTTCTAAGGCTTTAGCGGTAAAGGAAAACCTGGGCCATAGAGATATTAAAGTCGATCTTAGCTGTGTTCGGTGTTTACAATATGTGGAATCAACAAATCATCTATTTTTCAATGTTATTATGCTCAGATGATATGGCGAAGAATAGGAATCCCCACTGCGTTTCTTTTCGATGAATCAAAAACAATAGAAGATAAATTACAATTTATTCTCCAAATTGCATTGGATGATTCACTTGGAAAAATAATCCTACTCACTCCCATATGGACGCTTTGGAGACTTTGGAAGAGTCGTAATGAGTTATTATCCTCTTTGAAAAACATTACAGAACACCAGTTGGTTGATATGAATATATGTGACGTTCAAGAATGGATTGGCATGAAGATGCAAGTGGAGCTTGTAGATGTCAATGGTCTTCCGTGACTAACTAGGCGACGAAGTTACTGATGCTGGAGGCATTAGTCGTTACTACATAAGGCATGCGGAGTGGTGGGTTACCATGTGGATGCAAGATATGCTGAGATGGAGAAGGATAAACTAGATGTTTATGTCTTGACGTAGTCGTTGAAGTAATTGCTGATGCAGCGTGTGTCAGAGAGTGAACCAGGAGGCATGCGGAGTGGTAGAGACCATGTGGATGCAAGATGCTGAGCTGGCGTGGGATAAACTTAAGGAGCAAGTTTATACCGTGGAGAAAAGGCAAGAGATAAACTTGGAGAGCAAGTTTATGCCTTGAGGAATAAGTACAAATCCAAGAAAAGGAAAGTGTACTTATTAATATGGAAGTTGTCCATATATCCATGTTGTCTTGGAGACTAGGGTTTCAGGAATGTGGAGATCACTATAAAAGAGCTATGAAGTCGTGTGTATTCCATAAGACACTTGGGGGCTTTTATTATAGAGGAAGGGTGAAAATCCCTTAGGGTGTTCTTGGGTCGTGCCGATGCAGTTGCTGAGGTACTGACGATGGAGAGACAAGTTTGGGTAGATTAGGAATCTTTCAGTAGCAGCTGTTAGGGTGTTAACAGGCTGTGTAAAGCTGATAAGCAGATCTTGTAATAGATTGTTTAAAGATGATTTCTAATAAAGCATAGTGTTTGCTTGTATCTATTTTGTCTCTTGGTTTATCTTCTGCAGTACTATANAGAGACAAGTTTGGGTAGATTAGGAATCTTTCAGTAGCAGCTGTTAGGGTGTTAACAGGCTGTGTAAAGCTGATAAGCAGATCTTGTAATAGATTGTTTAAAGATGATTTCTAATAAAGCATAGTGTTTGCTTGTATCTATTTTGTCTCTTGGTTTATCTTCTGCAGTACTATATTGTGGTGTCATCTTTGCACTTACATGGCATTACCAATATCTCTCATGATACGAACCAGTCAGTACTTCCTACTAGACGACGCAATCGGGAACGATGGAAACCTCCACCGTCAGAGTGGGTGAAGTGTAACTATGATGTTTCCCATCACCATGGTAATACAAATTCAGATGTGGGTTGTATCATCCGAAATAGTGCAGGAATTTGTCTAGATTATGGAATGGGTCAATTTGAAGGAAGATACACTGTGCTGGAAGCTGAGGCAACCGCTCTATTGTGGTCTATGCAAGCAAGTTGGTCATTAGGGTATCGTAATGTTATATTTGAAGGTGATAATTTCAATCTAAATAGTCATCTCAATACCTTGGAGATTAACCTTAATATAAGGGTAATCATTACAACAATACAAGATTGGAAGAGGCTTTTCGAAGGTGTAGAGTTTTGCTATGACTCAAGACAAACAAACGGATGCCGCAGACTTTTTTTCTTTGTTCATGCTGCTAACTCTGAGTTTTGTCTAAACAATCTTTAGTTTCTTCTGTATTATGGTCTGTGTTTAATACTTGTCCTAGGTTTTTAGAACCATATGTAAACTACGATAATGATTCATAATAAAAGTTAGTCGACAAAAAAAAAAACTCCTTCCGTCGACGACGAATCCGAAGAGTGCTAATTGTTTGTTGAGACAAATCAAACGAGGGAAATAATACGTCGCAGTTTTCAGTTACTGATTTTTTGGGTTTTATCCAGCCCATTGTCAAATTAACGCCCACTACTTTGTATTGGTTATAATAACGGGCTTTTTATTGTAGCGTAGGCCCTAGGATTTTCAAAGTAATAAAATAGGTAGACTCAGACTTAGCGAGCTTTTGAGTGAACGGTGCTCCCTCCTTACAGGCATTGACTAGCTCCACTTATAGTTAATGTGTTTGTCTCATATTCTCTGTTATGTCCAAACTGTCAAGACAATCATCGAGGCCAGAAGAGTGGCGTGGGCTTCCTCTTGAGAACCAAATCGCACTTGACATGTACCATGTTCTCCTCTTAGGTTGAGTATTTTAAGCTAGCTCTTCCGTTAAGTTCCCAATTCAGAGTAAGAACCACGAACCATTGCTCCATAGCCAAAACTCTTTTCTTTTGTTTGACTTATAGTTTTCTTTATTAGGTTTTTTTCTTTTTGAAAAAAAAAAACTTGTTAAGTTGGAATGTTTAACAATGACTTTAGATTTTGTCTTATAACAGGGCCACTGTAATAAAAAAATATAAAATACGTGAAAGATGGATGGAAATAATTTTAAAATGTGAGCCTAGTTTAGTTACTGGTCAACTCATACCAGCTCATTTGCTTTATTAGGACATTTTGTCTTTGTAATATTTATTACCAAGTCTTTTTCACGCCATCGTTTTTTCTTTTGCAAAAGCCAAATTAGTAGTTGGAGCAGGTTGAGAATATCTAAGAACATATTATTATAAATAAACTTTGAAAAAACACTTTTTAACTTCGAAATCGTTAGAACATCGTAAGTACACTTATATTTCTAATTCTTTTTAAAACCATTTTTTATGAAATTAATTTCGAATAACATATATATCAATTAATTACATATATATATATCCTTTATATATTATTCAAAGAAGCCAACAAAATGCTTTTTTGTCTTACCAAAAAAATTGCCCTGCCTATGTGTCATTCCAAACAATCGTAGAAATAATTTTTAATGCCTTTTCCTAAATAAAACCAGTAAATATAATATTCATCGAATAATTAATAATCTTAGCGAAGAAGATGTCCAAACATTAGACCCCAAAAAGGGTCCGAAGAAAAAGTAGCAACTTTATAATAAAAAAAACATCAAAATTGTGTATTTCCACGTAACATGCATGAGATTCTGATCATTGGGGTTGACGAAAATATAAAACTGTTAAAAGCAAATTAAAAGCGCGTGGAACCCACTCTCCCCTCCCCTGTATTTCGCTCTTTTCCTAACTGGCAACAAACCAAACACCTTCACTTCCACATTAACTCTTTCTCTCTCCTCTCAAACCCTTACCTCTCTCCTCTCTCCTCTCTCTCCTCCGATGCCGGTTAACAACGGCGACCGGAGCTTACCGGATCTCATCTCCTCTCTCCTCGACACCATCCCCAACCTCCTCAGCTTCAAATCCAAATGGTCTTCCATCCGCGCCAAACTCTCCGATCTCAACACTCACCTCACCGACCTCGCCGGATCCTCCTCCAACCAGCTCGCTCTAGACCTCCTCACCTCCGTCAGGGAGACGCTAAACGCCGCCGTCTCCGTCGCCGCTCGGTCGCAAGACTTATCACATGGAAAGCTCAAGACTCAGAGCGAGGTCGACTCCGTCGCTGCTCGTCTCGATCGCCACGTCAGAGACGCAGAGGTTCTGATCAAGAGCGGCCTTCTTCTTCTTCAAGACTCCTCGAAGTTTGTTTCAGTTTCGTCGAAGAAGGAAGGTGTGAGATCAGAGGCGAGGAGTCTTGTTATACGGTTACAGATCGGTGGGGCCGAGTCGAAAAACTCGGCGATCGATGAGTTGCTCGAGCTGATACAAGGAGATGATAAGCACGTGATGATCGTTGTGGCGCAAGGAGTTGTTCCCGTTTTGGTTCGGTTGTTAGATTCGTGTCTGAAGGAGAAGAGTGTAGCTGTGATCGCTAGAATCTCGACGGTTGAGAGTAGTAGACACGTGTTGATCGCTGAGGGGTTGAGTTTACTGAATCATTTACTTCGTGTGCTTGAGTCAGGAAGTGGGTTTGGTAAAGAGAAAGCTTGTGTTGCTCTTCAAGGTTTGAGTTTATGTAAAGAGAATGTTAGAGCGATTGGTTGTAGAGGAGGGATCTCGTCTCTGCTCGAGATTTGTCAAGAAGGGAGTCCTGGGTCTCAAGGCTTAGCGGCGGGTGTGTTGAGGAACTTGGCGGTGTTTGGGGAGAGTACTAAAGAGAGTTTCGTGGAGGAGAATGCGGTTTTGGTTCTGATCAGTCTTGGTTGTTCAGGTACGCCTCTTGCTCAAGAGAATGCGTTAGGGTGTTTGGGTAATTTAACGTCCGGGGATGAGGAGATGGTGGTGACGGTTGTTAGAGAAGGAGGGATTAAGATGTTAAAGAGTTTCTTGGATTCTAATGCTAAGTCTCTTGAAGTTGGAGTTTTGCTTTTGAAGAATCTAGCTTTGTGTCCTGTTGTGAGAGAAGTTGTTGTCTCCGAAGGGTTTATCTCTCGTTTGGTTCCGTTGTTGAGTTGTGGGGTTCTTGGTGTGAGAATCGCGGCTGCGGAAGCTGTTGCTTCGTTAGGGTTCTGCTCGAAAAGCCGGAAAGAGATTGGTGAGAGTGGATGTGTTGGTCAGTTGATTGATATGTTAGATGGTAAAGCTATGGAGGAGAAAGAAGCTGCTTGTAAAGCTTTGTCAACGTTACTGGTGTGCACAAGTAATAGGAAGATTTTTAAGAAGAGTGATAAGGGTATACTTAGTCTTGTTCAGCTCTTGGACCCGAAGATTGAGAAGATTGATAAGAGATACGCAGTCTCTGCTTTGGAGCTGATTGTGACTTGTAAGAAGTGTAGGAAACGAGTGGTTGCTGCTGGTGCTTGCTTGCATTTACAGAAGCTTGTGGAAATGGATGTTGAAGGAGCTAAGAAATTGGCTGAGAATCTTGCCCGGAGTAAGATTTGGGGGGTGTTTGCAAGACCGTAAGAGACTCTGCATTAACCATTGTATGTAAGAAACATCGGCGATTCTTGTCTTTTTTTCGTTTTTTTTTCTTCTCTATATGTTTGTTTGATGAGTTTGGTTGTTCATAAGGCTTGGTTGATTGAAGTAGGGAGAGTTTAATTGCTGATTAGTTCTTCTGTTGACAAAAATAATAATATCTTTGTAGAGTTTGATCCTTTTGAACTTTCCTTCTTGTCCTCTAAAACTTCAAGAAGCTGATCTTTTCTCTCTCAAGTGTGTGATTGATTTATGTAAATCTAGGAACAGTGTAACGACTCTTCAGTGTCTGAGCTGAAACTCTGTTTTGTTGCATATTTGAGTTGGATTCTGGTGGTATGTCCTGTCTGAACATAAAATCAAATAATGTTGGTCGGAATGCACATGGCATTTGTTTTGTTTATATCTTTCTTCGCTAATTCTCAACTTGTTTCTTTGTGGTCCCGTATGACTGTTACATCTCTTTGGCACAATACAATTATTCAAATCACCAATGATGATGGTAAAGTAGTGATGTAAATGAGTTGTCTTTCTAACATTTATGTTTGTTACATTTCCTGTAAAGTTTGTTCTTCGATCAAAACATTAAGAGATAGAGCAAATCTGTTACCAGTAGCTGGATGACAACCAGTGAAACCAAATTGATGTTTTCTTGATACTGTATAATGACTTGAGCTGCTGACGGATCAACATATTGTTGTGAATAGCTGATTGAATCTTCTAGATTATTCGACCACCATTTTTCCAACCTTGCGCCTCGAGAAACTTATGTTTTCCCTTTTGATATAACTAAAAAGCTTGGCTACTGTTTGAGGAATAGTGTTGGCAACAGGACTATTGTTCTCCTTGTTGTTCACTCCCTTCTTCTCATTTACTCCATCCTGGTCAGTGTAGTGGCAGCAGATATAGTCACTACTCTTCACATATAAATGAGACACCCATTTTCACAAATCCACAGAAGTTTTTTGATTCTGCCTGTAGAAACTCAGTAGCCAGTTCCTAAACACTGAAACACTGCCGGGACCAGAAGCATCTCTTCCTTCCTTACTATCTGGTGAAAGTTGGGTTTCTATAGAGAATTAAAAGATACGCTGTCATAACATGTTTCAGAACACCCAGCAAACCACCTCGTCAATTGAGTTTGACCAAGTAATTATAGAGATAAAATGATAGAAAACCGGACCCGTTTTTCTGACCTGTCTAGTGTAATAACCGAACCATCTGCCGGGAAGTGGTCACACACCAAAGCTTGCGCCTTGCAGAAAAACTTTAATACTTGCATGTCTACTTGGACCAAGAAAGTGGATCAACGACCCAACATGTGTTCACGGATTATCTTCACCATTATGCACATTGATTGGAATGAAGGAGGTTGCTAGACGTAAGTTTGAGAAGTTGATGGGTTTTTAGATCTTTTATGTTGCATTGTGGCTCTAAGTTTGGTGTCTTTCGTTTTGTTAAGTTTGGTTTATATGAGAACTAGGTCTTTGGAAAATTAAGGTTTTAATTGTATTTATATTCCTTCTAGTTGTGTTTGGAAACTGAAGTTTCATTAACAAGTGAGAGCATCCTTAAGAGATAGTGGCCCAATTCGTTTCGTTGTCACAGCGATCTACAACTGCGACAGTGTTGGATCCATTAAACGTTTTTTTTCTTCATATGATTCAACAGACAGATCAATCGCAAGTCATAGGTCGCAGACTATTATGCGTTTTGTTGTCACAAAATTGATCATGCGATCGAACGACTGATTGTGCGATCAGTCATAGGTGGATTATATAAATACAATGTCTTTAAAAAAAAATGAAAGAGTATCAAAAAGGGCATTGAATCATAGTTTTGGGGGGGGGGGGGTGTCAATGAGAAGTAAACAACCAATTTTGCTACAGATTCTTTACTAAATTCTACATAATATAATATCTCAATTTTGACAGAGATTCTTTACTAGATTCAAAATGGAATTGAATTCTAGTTTTTGGGGGTGTCAATGAGAAGAAAACAACCAATTCTGCTACATATTCTATATTACAGTGAAATCTCTATAAATTAATAATGTTGAGAATACATCAAAATTTTAGTTTTTTATTAATTTAGAGGGATATTAATTTATTGATATACTAATCGAATCAAAAACTCAATTTGACACTATAAAATTATATTATTTTATAGAGATATTGAGTGTATATTAATTTATCGATTATTAATTTATAGAGATTCTACTCTAAATTCTACATAATATAATATCTCAATTTTGCTGGAGATTCTTTACTAAATTCTACACAATAGAATATCTCAATTTTGCTAGAGATTTCTTTACTAAAACTCTACACAATTTAACTATATACTAGGATATGACCCGCGCCTTGCGCGGGATGAAATTATTATTTTTATTATGTTTTGGAAAATGAAACAGAAGTTCGGTTTCATCTAGATTAAGAATGTTCAATCTGGATATCGGGTTTCCGTATTTTGGTTATTAAAATATAACTACTATTCTAAATCCATATTTACTTCAGTTTGATTTGGTTTATATATTGGTTTTTAGTTTATTCAATTTTATACCAAAATACATCATTATTTACTTTGAAATCATATTACATATTATAAAATAAATAATATGATCATATTTAGAGTCATATTGTCAAAAAGTCATTTACTAAAAAAATATATTATATATTTAACTAAAAGAATTAAAAACAAAAAGGCTTTTATGATCTAATAAAATGATCAAATCTATAATTAATATCAAATCTCTAAATTTTGAAAATAAAAATAAAAACAAAACAGAAGCATGAAAGAAAAGTTTTTTTATTCTTCCATATTTAGTGTTCATCAAATTAATATGTCTTCGATTGAACACAACTCTGTTTGTTTAAAGATTAAAAAAAAATTGTAAAGAATTTCAACTAATTGTTGTCCATCAAATTTATAATTTTTACTTCAGTTTAGTTTTTATTAAAAAAAAAGAAAAAAAAAAGATTAAAAAAAAAAGACGAAGAAAATAAGAAGCCTCAGTTGCATTAAATTGTTAGTTAATTATATTTCAAGTGATTCAAGTGATTTACAAATCATAATTATAGTTCAACTTATGTAACAAATAGATATACATATTTACATGTTTCAGTTTAATCGATTATAAATCAAACCATATCCAAATCTTACGGTTTTTATAAAATCACATACNAATATCTTTAAAAAATAGAAAATTTTTAGAAAGAACTAATATATTTAAATCATTGATAACAAAAATTTTCAATGTGAAAAATTTTATACGTTTATAATTTATAAATGTTCTTGAAAATTCATTGAAATTTTTGAAATTAAAATAAGTATGTAATCTTATATGGTATATAGTTTAATATATATATATATATATATATTTTTTTTTTATTATTGAATGATACTTTTTACTCATATGGTTTTATAATCATGTGTATCTTTTTATAATAAAAATGTTAAACTATTGATCAAAATGAGCAAAAGATATATTCATATAATAAACGTTCTTGCCTTATAATAATTATTATATATAAGCTATTATAATAAACGTTTATAATAAACGTTCATATAATAATTTAATAAACGTTCATATAGTAAATGTTTAAGCTTTAAACGTTTATATATAATAGATTGGGCCTCTTTATATCGTTCATTGTTTTGTCAAAATGATCAAAAGATATATTCATATAATAAACGTTCTTGCCTTTACCATTAAGTATGTACTTGGTCACAAAGTAATTTCCATTTTACATATACACTTCCATAAATTAAAAGGAATGAAGTTATTATAGTTAATATATGCAAATCGTTATCAAATCGTANTTGTTTTGTCAAAATGATCAAAAGATATATTCATATAATAAACGTTCTTGCCTTTACCATTAAGTATGTACTTGGTCACAAAGTAATTTCCATTTTACATATACACTTCCATAAATTAAAAGGAATGAAGTTATTATAGTTAATATATGCAAATCGTTATCAAATCGTATATTTTCCTTTTCTTCCATTACATGCGTGCAATATATATATATATAAACTATGTTATATGCGTTATATGCGTCTCTAATTATTTTTCCCTAGCAAATTTCAAATGAACCTTAAGCTGCCACGTCAGTTTAATTGGTATGCTAATTGATTGACAACTAAGCAAGGTTACTTTTTAATTATTACAAACTAGGTATTTTGCCCGCAATTGCGGGCATAATTTTCTTATAAATATTGATTAGCTGATGTTTCATTAAATTAAAACCCAGCATATTAAATTATTATTTATGTTTTCAAAAATTACAAATGAAACATCAAATAATTATCAATGACAAAACTCAAACATCAGAAATATTTAAAATAATATATTTCTATGTGAATATTTTTGATACATAAGAATTACCATATTCTCTAAAAGTATAATATTATTAGTGTAAATTAATTTCAATTATAAAACAAAAAAACTTTTTATATCTTAATTTTAAATTTCTAATAGAAAAATATATTTTCAAGACATCAACTTAATACATAAGAAGTATTTTATTTTCTAAGAATCTGATACTATTAATATAAATTTGTTTTAAATAAATAATAAATTATAGATAAAATTATATAAATTGATAAATTATAAAAATTAGCTAATCATGGAAAATATGACAAATCATCAAACATCAAATTCACTTCTTAAATAATATTATAGATTTTTTACATGTTAATTTTAAATTTTATAATAGGAAAATATTTATATTTTATTATTAATAATATAATTTTATATCTTAATTTTAAGTTTTATAATAGGAAAATATATTTTCAACATAACAACATAATCCATAATGATTATCTTATTTCATAAAATATTTAATTATTAATATAAATTCGTTTTAATTATATTTAAATACTAAATTATTAATATAAATTCGTTTTAGATAAATATAATAGTGTTTATATATTAAAATAAAATTTAATTATATATATAAAATATATTCCAAGATAACAACATAATTCACAAGAATTATCTTATTTACTAAAAATATGATATATTGATATAAATTCAATTTTATTAAATAATAAATTTTATATGAAATTATTTAAATAAGGTAAATAAACAAATTTACCTAAAATCAAGGAGAAGTTGACAACTAAGCAAATTTACTAATATTAATATAAATTTGTTTTAGATAAATATAATAGTGTTTATATATTAATTTAAAATTTAAGATAACAACATAATTCACAAGAATTATCTTATTTACTAAAAATATGATATACTAATATAAATTCCTTTTTATTAAATAATAAAATTTATATGAAATTATTTAAATAAGGTAAATAAACAAATTTTACTTAAAATTAAGGAGAAGTTGACAACTAAGCAAATTTACTAATTATTAATAGAAATTCGTTTTAGATAAATATAATAGTGTTTATATATTAATTTAAAATTTAATTTTATATATAAAATATATTTCAAGATAACAAAATAATTCACAAGAATTATCTTATTAACTAAAATATGATATATTAATATAAATTCGTTTTTATTAAATAATAAATTTTATATGAAATTATTTAAATAAAGTATATAAACAAATTTACCTAAAATCAAGGAGAAGTTGACAACTAAGCAAATTTACTTCTTAAATAATAGTATAGACTTGAGGTTACATCTTTTCAAATGTTTCTCAATTAATATATAGGGGATTCTCACAATCGAAATTGGGATTTAGAGAATTGGTTCATTTCGGTTTAGCGTGTAGAGGGGAGAAAAAAAATACAAAAAGGTAAAAGACCAAAGTGGCTGTTCGATTATCCCTCGCAAGAAAAGAACCGAACCTCACTTCATTTCACAATAAAAAAAGGGTTTCTTTCAATTCTCTCTCTTTTTTTTGGGATTCGTTTTCAATCCGATCGCGAAGATGATCGATATCAGTCGAGTCCAGAAAGAGCTTCAAGATTGCGAGAAGGACAGAGACTCCTCGGGAATCCGGGTCTGCCCGAAATCCGATAACCTTACCCGACTCACTGGAACCATCCCGGGTCCAATCGGAACTCCTTACGAAGGCGGAACCTTTCAGATCGATATCACCATTCCAGGTCTATCTTCTTCTCTTTGATTACTTACTGATGGTAAAGTTTGAGGCTTTACTTGGTTCTGCTTCAAATTGAGTTAGGGTTTTTGTTGAATTACATATATGGAATGTGAAATTCTTCTTGATTTTGCTTCTAATTTACTATTTTACTATCTAGGGTTCATATTGTATTTAGGGTTTATAGGTGAATGATTGGTATTGTGGTATTTTTATAATCGAAGTTTTATCCTTTTTTGTTCAAATTGCAGAAGGGTATCCCTTTGAGCCTCCAAAGATGCAATTTTCAACCAAAGTTTGGTAAGAACATTGACTCTCATGTCAATCACTGCAAACTATATAAGTATATATCTTTAGTTTTCTGATTATGGAGATTGAATCATTGTTTATGGATAACTCTTTAATCTTGGTTTTGGGGTAAATCTTTTGGTTGTATCCTTTACATTTTCCTTGTGGGTGTTTGGTTAGATAAGCTCTTTATCTTTGGTAGTAAAATTTATTAATCTAGTTGTTTTATGGTCATCTTAACTTTATATTTATTTATTTACATCTTTGATGAAGGTTTAATCTTGGTAAAGTTGGTTTACGTTTCTCTTTAATTTGAACTTTAAGTACATTTTGACATTCCAAACTCGTCATATGTTAGTTAGTGTTTATTAACTCTCTGTTGCGTAGTAACAATTATTGAGAATGCATTGTGTGCTAATTAATGGTCTATCTTTGTTGATTTATTATATTTACCAAACCAAAAAGGCACCCGAACATAAGTAGCCAAAGCGGGGCAATATGCTTGGATGTCTTGAAAGACCAGTGGAGTCCAGCTCTTACTTTGAAGACAGCTCTTGTTTCCGTCCAGGCTTTGCTCTCTGCACCAGAGCCTAAAGACCCTCAAGATGCTGTTGTAGCTGAACAGGTTTTTACCTTTAAACATCATCATCGGCTATGTTCGTTTTTTTAATTAGTTACACTTTAAAACAACTCTTTTTTTCTCTGACAGTACATGAAGAACTATCAAGTGTTTGTATCGACAGCTCGTTACTGGACCCAAACATTCGCCAAGAACTCTTCTCTAGAGGAAAAAGTGAGTTTTTGTTGGATATGATTATTAAAAGGTTTTGGAGTCAAATGTAACGTCTGGTTTGGGTGTACTAAAAAGGCTTGTTTTGTCGCAGGTGAAGAGACTTGTGGAGATGGGTTTCGGAGATGCTCAGGTTAGGAGTGCAATTGAATCATGTGGAGGAGATGAGAATCTGGCGCTTGAAAAGCTCTGTTCTGGTTAGAATCTATCAAAGCAAAGCCTCATTTGCCGCTAGATATGATAATGGTTTATAACTTTATGTGCTGCGTTTCTGTTCTTGTCTGATGATAAGAGTGAACTGCTTTCTAAAAGAAAAAAATATTTACTAAATGCAATGATATATATCCATAAAAGGAGATATTATCTAGTAGATCATTGGGCATGGGGTGTGTCATTGTCAGGTTTTATTCATGATCAATGCCTTAATTTTTATGGTTGGATGGTGATAAGAGTTGGTTGGTTTAAGATGGGTTTCCGTAATAGAACCGGCTATTTCTTCAATCCATGTATGCCAAACAGCCATACCGAAAAAAAACTGAACCATATACCAAGATGATTATATTGAGGTGAACAAAATCTTGATACATTTGGCCAACAATTAGTGAAATTATTGATATAGAAGAATAGGCTACTAGTGCACAGAAAAAAATGCTACTACTCTGGTAAGTGATATCTATGATCCATAAAGTAATAAAATGATTGAACCAAAACCACAGTAAAACCTTGTGTGAGAATTTGTAGGAGGCATAAAGAGATAGAAGTTGAACAATTGAAGACATTGCATTTAGTGAACACAAAAGCTAGACGTTTTCGTCTGGTTTGAAACTTACCTACCCTACCCGTCAAGTTTAATTAATTCTAAAAATCATTGTCTTTGAAGAACTCACGGGTCTTCTTGCATAAGTTTTTGTCGTCGTCGTGGTCTTTGGGCTGTTTACTTTTTTTTTGTGTGTTCCTTGTTTGGCTCTTTGATAACACTTGAATTTTGAATTAGTCTTTGTGGGAGACTTGCAATTTCAACATGTTGTCCATCGTCAACAAAGTTATATGACATTCTGCTTGTATAAATCAATTTCTTATAGTGGAGCATTCAAATGATTATGTGAAGTTGCTATTCGTCAATAAATTCAAAATTTGGTTATAACTGAAATGCAGCGAGGAAGGAATCTAGAAGGACTTTATCTATTTTGAAGATTAGATTGTGGGTTGGTTTAGTACACGTGTCAATCATACAGACAAATGTCCTTGCTGCTGTATTTATGTATGTATGTATGTATAGACAAATGTTCTATACAGACAAATGTTCTCTATAAAATCTTGTAAGATTGTCCAAAAAAGATTGTACAGTTGTACAAAATCAATGTTTTTATACGCACTGAAGCTACCATGCTCTGTTTATTAGACTGCATGATTGTCCAATTGGGTTTAGGTGAAGTGGTAGAAGATATCAAGTTTGTAATTGTATGTTGTGTTACCGAAAAGTGAAGCTGCAAAACATAGGGATTTTAATAATCTTTTGATAAATTATATAGATAAAAAAAAAACCTGAATGAATATGAAGATGTTTTAAAAATAACATGAAGAAAATATAAAAAAAAAGATATATAATTTGCTGAATTTATATCTATTCGATGGAAAGAAGTGGCACACTTTTAACATAGCTGAAAATAAAATAGCTTTAGCTTGGTGAAATTATTCTCTTTGTCAAGAAAAATGCCACACCTTTACAAAATATTTATTGGCGGAATATAACGTAGATATTTTTAAAAATGATGATTTAAAATCATTTATGTCGTTGACAAAGCTGTATAAGCATCCAAAACTAAATAATAACGAGATAGAATCATTAATAGACTTTAGTTTAAAAAGAAAATACAGAAAAAGTCAAATAAGTTTGAACAGAAAAAGTAGAATAACTTTTGGGCTTCAACATTTTTTACGAATGACAAAAGGCTTTATTAAGTTGATCATAAAACTTTTATGACACTTTACTTCAGGCATATGTGAAGTACAAATACCAAACAAAACTCTATGTCATGTTGCGTAATAAATAGTTCTCTTCACAACTCTTTTTTACTTACAGAGGAATGATGTCACACATCTCAGATTAACGTGAAACCACGCCGTTAACTATTAACGTTAAAACCACCGTATACTTCACAAAAACACTGTCGTTTTGGCAGTATGGGCTGCGTTCTCTGCAAGAACTCCGCCGGAGCCAAAGATGAAGCTCCTCCTGGAAACCTCCGCCGTGAAACTAAGACGGATCATTTACCTTCTTCCTCCTCCGCCGCTGTTTCTTTACCGGAGGATGTAGCTTCGAATCAGATTCAAACGGCGAGAACGTGGCACACCGGCGACTTCTCCGCCGGCTCTTGTCGCCGTACGTTGGGGATGTGTCTCTCTGCGCCGGAAGAATGGCCACCGTGGCTTATTGCTGCTTGCGGCGAATCCATCAAAGACTTTATTCCCCGACGAGCCACCACATACGAGAAGCTCGACAAGGTTCGCATTAAATTAAAGTATTAATCAAAACACTAATCATTACGAGATAATGTATAATTATTAATTTTTTTATTTTTTATTTTTTTTAAAGATTGGGCAAGGAACTTACAGCAATGTGTACAAAGCAAAGGATCTATTAACTGGAAAAATTGTAGCATTGAAGAAAGTTAGGTTTGATAATTTGGAAGCAGAGAGTGTTAAGTTCATGGCTAGAGAGATTCTTATGCTGCGACGTTTAGATCATCCTAACGTTATAAAACTCGAAGGGTTAGTTGCTTCAAGGGTTTCTTGTAGTCTCTACCTTGTTTTTGAGTATATGGAACATGATCTCACTGGTCTTGCTGCTACTCAACGTGTCAAGTTTGATCTTTCACAGGTCTATTCTTACCGTCTTACTGATTAATTTCACCAAGTTAACTGTTCTTTTACTAATCATTGTTAACGTCTTTTTTTGTTTGTTATTCAGGTGAAGTGTTTTATGAAGCAGCTATTATCTGGGCTAGAGCATTGTCATAGTAGAGGAGTGTTACATCGTGACATCAAAGGCTCTAATTTGTTGATAGATAACAATGGAATATTAAAGATTGCTGATTTTGGGTTGGCTACGTTTTATGACCCAAAGCTAAAGAAGCAAACAATGACTAGTCGTGTTGTCACGCTCTGGTACCGTCCTCCTGAGCTTCTTCTTGGAGCTACAAACTATGGAACTGGTGTTGATCTTTGGAGTGCTGGTTGTATCATGGCGGAGTTACTTGCTGGCAAGCCTGTTATGCCAGGAAGAACCGAGGTAAAAAAAAAAAAAAAACCCTTAGCTTTCAGTTACAGATGTGTAGGGTCTCTTTAAATTAAATGCTTCTTTGGTGAGTTTGACTTTTGTCTTTGGGAAACCAACTTCATGAATCTTGGACCATATAAATGCATGTACAACCAAAATTTTGTTTTGTCTTAACTAATTATGTTATTTTGTTAGGTTGAACAACTTCATAAGATATTTAAGTTATGTGGATCCCCATCAGATTTGTACTGGAAGAAGTACAAATTACCGAACGCTACCCTTTTCAAGCCGCAGCATCCGTACAAACGTTGTGTGGCTGAAGCATTTAACGGCTTCACTCCATCAACTGTGTGTTTAGTGGAGACACTTCTCGCTATAGATCCTGATGATCGTGGAACTTCTACCTCGGCTTTGAGTAGTGAAGTGAGTCATCTTTGCTCTCTAATCTTTCAATTTTTCTGTAAGAACATGAAACTTAGTTTGTTGATTAGATATGTTATGCAAGTAAAAGTTTCTATAATTTGGTTTGTGTATACAGTTCTTTACGAGTGAACCTTTAGCGTGTGATCCATCAAGTCTACCGAAATATCCACCTTCCAAAGAACTGAATATAAAGCTAAGGGACGAAGAAGCAAGAAGGTACTAACTTCTTTGTGTTTTCTTGATGCTATTACTTCATTGGTAACTGTTCTCCTCATTTATCTAGGCAAAAGAGTCTTGCAAGAAAAGCTAGTGGTGTTGAAGGAGCTAGAAGAATAAGGTTCCGTGGAGATCGCACCGGGCGAGCTATTCCAGCTCCAGAAGCTAATGCCGAGAGTCAAGCCAACTTAGATGTGGGCAAAATCATCTTTTCATCTCATTTTATACTTATGCACATACACACATAAACACACAATATGTATGTAACCCTTTCCCTTTGTGTGTGTTTACAGAGATGCAGAGTGGTACCACAAACACATGGGAAGAGCAAGAGCGAGAAGTTCCCACCTCCTCACCAGGATGGTGCAGTTGGGCATCCAGTGGAAGAAGATCATCATCAGCCAAAGAAAAACTCAGTATTTGGTGCAAAGCATGAGGCTTCTTTCGGGTCATCGAGATCATTAAAGGCTGGGGAAGGGACGTCAATGAGAAAGATTTCAAATAAAGACGGGTCTCGTGGGACTTCTTCTTCCAGAAAGTACATATGGGGGCTTAAACCACCTCCAGCTCTTGGACTGTCGATGGACTTGCTTTTCAGGACCAGATCAGAAGTATTTGGGATCCGGAGATAGGAGATATGAGTTGAGACTTGAGAGTTATATTTTAGTGCATCAAAAATAAGAGATTGTTGAAGACGTTCATATTCTTTGTAGCAGAGTAGAAATAGACGAGAGAGAGGGTGCACAAATGGAAATGTGGTTTGACTATGATGTAAATACACAGTTCAGCTAGTCTTTAGAATTCTCTTTTTTAAGATTTGTATAGTTGTGTGAAATGTGTTTTGAGGATTCAAAGATTGGAATGTTTCAAAACTCTTTGACTTCTGCCTTTTATTTATTTTACTTCACCTATTGTTTGATTGAATTTGTCTCTGTGCTTTGGCAACAGAAGCAGAGAAAAAAACAAAGATCAATTTGGTTTTCCTCTGAAGAACCAGAGAAGCCATTATTTTCAATAACACAAAATTTTGCAAGTTGTTGAGAAGTTGTGAAGTTTTTACATGAGCTCTTTCACATATGAGTCAATTTTTAATAGGCATCCACCCGTATCAGGCTAACACACCAAGTGGAAATCAAATTAACTTATTCGGAAATGACTTTTGGTTTGAAATCATATACTAAGAAACAGGAAGTGTGAACACTTCATTCATTATTTGGTGGGGGATTCTGTTCTGTGCTTTACCAATCATTCCACACAAAGAAAGACATGTGTTGTGGACTCTTTTATTAGCGTTAATCACCACCCAAAAGATTTATAGGTTTCAGTTCCGCAAGGACAAAAAAAGAAAAATGAAAACCGCAGGCGAGAGGATTAACAAGAATAACAATAGCAAAATATCAAAATAAAAATCACGAGGAAATGTTGTTTTGTAGCAAAAGAGACATCATTTTCTCCTTTTTTTTTTCTTATTTTCCTTGCCTTTAAAGAACAAAGACGAAATGTGTTGTGGTTGGTTTCTGAAGAACGATGATCATTTTCTTTATTTGGATCTGTAACAAGCTCTCTTTGCTGCTCGAACGATATCCTCTACCTGAGGAAGAGCCAATCTCTCTAGGTTAGCTGCATAAGGCATTGGCACATCAGCTCCTGCTATCCTTTCCACCGGAGCATCCAAGTACGAAAAGCTCTCCTCTACAACCGACGCACTGATCCATAATAACACCACCAAACATTAATCAATATTATATTAACCCAAACGAGTACTAGAACTTCGTTTTTTGAGTAAGGATATGAAGTTTCACCAGATTTCTGCACAGACTCCATGCTGAGGAAAACCTTCTTCAACTGTTACCAATCTACTTGTTTTTCTCACTGAAGCATTGATCGTTGCTCTGTCCAGCGGACGGATTGACCGTAGATTTATTACCTAACCATTTTATAACCAAAACAAAAGGTTTTAGAGCTTACGAATCAGGTTTTTAAATAGAATCACAAGACATAAGACACTTCATACCTCAGCACTTATTCCCTCTTCTGCGAGCTTCTCAGCTGCCTATAATCCGAGACAGAACAATGATAAATACCAACTTTTGTCAAAAAACCACACACAAAGCATGCGATGCAAAAAATCATCTGAAAAGAATGCTAATAAATGCAGGAAACTAGAAGCTCAGTTTTAGTTACTAAAAGGTGTTCCTGAGAGCTGGAAAATGACAAACCTTGAGGGCAAAACCGACCATCTTCGAGAAAGTTGTTATCGTGACATCCTTTCCTTCTCTTTCAATCTGTTATAGCCAATACATCATTACAACATCAACTGCTAGATAGAATAAAAACGAAGGAGAACACTAAAAAAACAAAGAGGGCGATATAAATCAAGTGACAGGTACCTTGGCTTTGCCAATGGGAAGACAGAAACTTGAATCAAGTGCTTCTTCTGAGATTGGAAATGATTCACCATATCTGCATGACGGAATCAAATTAAGTGGGGGACTGTTATGTCTGAGGCTTTAGGCTCTAATCACATGACCAGAGTTCAAATTAGGCGTGTACTACTTACAGCAACTCGTTTTCAAGGAAGACAACAGGGTCGGGGTCTCTAATGGCAGCTTTAAGAAGACCACGAGCATCTTCAGCTGAATATGGAGCGAGAACTTTCAAACCAGGAACTGAGGCGTACCATGCTGCATAGCACTGAAAAATGTATAACAAAAGACCTCCATTTAACATATATAGATACATATACAAGGCCACAAGCAGTCGTAAACACAGATATTCCTGGATCCTAGTATTTATCATGTTAGAAACAATGAATGGTACTAGTGATAAAATCCCTAATACATCTATCAATCATGTTAGTCATACATTCTAGGCCCTTCTCTAAGAAAGACAGTCATAGTTTCATGTGTTCATTACCAAGAAAAAACAGTTGCACATTACTGTTGCTCAGAACCTTTATCATAATCAATTAGCTAACTGGCTCATTTATTAAGGGGAAATTTGATCAACGTTAAAGCCAAAGCCAGTTCCTTGATCCTCTTTGATTATCATCACTTTCTTTTGTGGGAAGTAAATTGTATGTAGTACAGAATTTGCGTTAAGAGTTTACCTGAGAATGCTGAGCACCAACACCAGCAGCAGCACCATTGGGTCCTCTAAAGACGATGGGTACATTTATCTGTCCAGCAGACATGTAGTTTGACTTTGCAGCAGAATTTATGATATGATCAATTGCCTGTAACATATTCCAATAGAGATGTTAGGAAAAATTATAGGGAGTAAAAAATATATATGTGCACCACAGTGCATAACCCCATAACGCAACAATGATGCTAAAGTCAGGTAAAAGTAAAGATGAAAAAATGTAGTTTTAGAAAATAGAACAAAAAAGTAACGCTAACCTGCATAGAAAAGTTAAAGGTCATAAATTCAACAACAGGCTTTAAGCCAGCATAAGCCGCACCAACTCCAATTCCAGTAAATCCAGCCTACAAAATGATACAAAGATGACTGTCAGAAATCTTCCCAATCTAAAAAGTGGACATAAGGATTACAACATCAGCAGTACAAAAAAATAATATAAGAAATCCAAACCTCGGTAATTGGGGTATCGTAAACTCTCTCGGGGCCATATTTCTCCAAAAGCCCTTTAGTGATCTGTGAGTACATGATAAACATCGAGGCAAAAGATAAGGGTCAGAACAAGAGAAAGTAATGTCTATTTCCACCAGGTCAAAGCAATTCTAACCTTGTAAGCACCTTGATATTGACCAACCTACAAAAAACAATAAAAGAGAAAAGCTGAAATATCGATTTATTTCATGAGAAAGGATCAATCATGTAAAATGCAACGAACCTCTTCACCCATGACAAATACTTTAGGATCTGCAGACATCTCCTCATCAATTGCAGAATTTAAAGCATCTCTGACTGTCATCTAAAATTCACCAAAAAAATGTAAGTGATCTGACAGTACTTTGGATAATTCCATAGAGAATCTTTCTAAAATATAACAAAGACTGAAGATCAAGTCAGAGATTGATCAGCTTCGTTTACATATGTTGAGACTAATCATCATAGATTTGATCAAAAATGTCTTCCCAAACTCATAAAAAACTACTGAAAAAAAGAGAGTTTCCAAGTGATTTTGACAATACAAATTAGCTGGATTCGAAAACGACGTTACCTCTTTAGAACCAGCTGCATAGCTCCTTGCGGAAACCAAAGCGAATCGCGTCTTTCTGAGAGACTATTCATAATCCATTTTCCAAAAAAAAATCAGAATCTCAGAGACTCGATGAAAAATCTCAAATCGGTATCGTCAATGAACAGATTAAAAAAACAATCAAAGGAGAGCTATACCGAAGCAGAGAAGCCTCCTCCATCAACAGCACTTCTCCTCAAGATTCCCCACATTTTTTCTCTCTAACTGAAAACAAAATCAAACACTATTCTGAGATCTAACAAGAGAACAAACGAACACAGAGAAATCCCAATCCAAGGACGGAAGGAAACAGGGCGGATCGATTTAACGGAGACGGAATTGATTACCTTAGCTTTTGTACCGTGCCGGTAGAAATCGAATCGGAGACGGCGGCGGATTCGAAAGAGGACGACGACGACTCAAAGCTTGTGCGAAAGGGCACTGTTTATTTTTTTTGTTGTAACAACAACAACAACACAGCTCTCTACGAGACGTTTTCAATTAGAGGAAAGAAGAGTAGGTCTTATTCGTCAAAATCACATGAGCCGTACGATTAAGTTTCATTAATTAGGTCTTATGAGATCAAATGGTTGACATTTTCGCATTTATACTTTTTTCCCTTTCTCAACTAGTATTATTCCATTCCATTTGAATCATTATGACTTTATTGAAAACGCTTTTTATATCTTTTAGAGAATACGAATACGGAGAAATATATATTCTTTATAATTATTTTATTTATTTTTTTATGTGAAATTAAAGTTGACTAATGTGAATTGCAGATTTTTTTAATCTGAATAGCAAACTAAACTCCAAAAACAACACTCCACAAGAAAAAACTGAAATTATCACCAATATTTTTCTTTTGTGTATATGAAATGTATATTTAGACATGGATATGGTCTGGTTCAGATATTTTGAATATAAGAAAAAACAATAACCACTAATAGGATTATTCGTTTTGGTTGTCTTTGGTTCCGGTTTAGAAGAAAACCTGACCTCTGAATGATCCCTGAATTGCTAGCAAAAACAAAAAAAAACAAAGAAACAAAACCTTAAATCATAAGAGAATGTTACACTATAATCAATCTCTCTGCTTCAAGCTTGAGCAGAATCACTAGTGTTAGTTTCTTTTTGCTTTCTTTCGGCTTGAAGGGATCTGCAAAGCGATTCAAGCTTATCTTTCTGATTCTTTGTCTTCTCCAACAGTTTCTTCATTCTTTCACGCTATTACAAATGTATATAACCAAAACCATTTGTTATCCTATTGGTTGGTTTCATAATCCACGAAAAATGGTTTGTTTACTTACCTCTTCGACGAGTTCTATGAGAGTAAGATCAGATCTCTCGGTTTTGCTCTTCAGGAATGCGTTTTCTTTCCTCAGATCTTTTATTGCTTTTGACATCTACATCAACAGAGAGATACAGGATCAATTTAACAAAATCACAGAACATAGCATTTCGGATCTTTTAAAGAAGACATGTTTTTTACCTTGTCGATTTCTTGTTTGAATGTTTCAAACACTTCGTTGCTCTTCACCAACGCATCCTGCACCATGTTTCATTTATTACAGATCTTGTGGAAGAAAAGAAGATGAATACTCTGCAAAATAGGGAGAAGAGAGAGAGCAGACCTGGAACTGCTGGAACTTCTCTCCATCAGATGTTAACTGCACCCGCAAGTTTTTCTCGGTTGCTAAAAGCTGAGAAACTTGATCTGCATAAATTTTCATCTGAGACTGTTCATGGATGAGTTTCTCCTCGTGCTGTTTGATTTTTAATTCAGATATCTGCAGCTCCAGTGTTTTCTGCTTCAACTGTTCATTTCCAAAAGAATATGAGATAACAGTTAAATGATGCTTCATTTATATTAGTTGAAGAAACAATATACATACTCTTTGCTCATGTTGTTGTTCTGAAAGCATATATTGATCAGCCAGGTGCTTCAACTTCGTCCTTAACCTGGTGGAGATTAAGTAAACAAAACCCACTGATATTGACAAGGACTTCTAAAATATAGTTTGCAGAATGCGACTCATAATGATTTTACTTTTGTGTAACAAAACAATATGTATATACTATACATTTCCTGCTCCACTACAAATCGAAAACGTGGTGATTGTGTTTATAAGGCTTACATCTCATTTTCTTTTAGTTGTGAGAGGCTTTCATCCTTTTGCTCATCCAACTTAATGCTCACATCCTATTAAGCAAGGTGAATTAGTAAGGTCAAGAGTATAGCATACAAAGAAAAGGATGGTTCGATTTTTGTAGGTTTCTGACTGATGCAAAAGTAATCAAACTACAGTAATCTGATATCACATAGTATCCATCTACGTGAAACTAACATGTGTCAATATTAGTGCGGACTTTCACATGTTAAGGAAGAAGAAAAGGAGATTATTTCCCTGAGCAAATAACAAAGAAGATTAAAGGAGACACTAAGGAATAGAACAAGATGAAGAACGAGATGCATCAGGATTTGCCTACTGGGGAAGGATAAACTAAGATATTAAATAATCTTCTTACTACCAAATTCCAATGGCAAAATTTCTCAAACTTTATAACCCGCAAAGATCAAAACAGTAGGAAGAATTCAAATGTTCATCTACCTTTAATGACTGAAACTTTATAACCAGCAAAGAGCAAAACACTAGGAAGAAGTCAAATGTTCATTTACCTTAATTGCATCCTGGAACTTGGTCGATAAATCTGATCTTAAAGTCTGTCCCTCAGTGGACACCCGCTTACATTCTTCCTGTAATACAAAGGAACAAGACTCTATATAAGGCAAACCAAGTAGAGTAAACAAAAAGGAAAAAGAAGGAAAGAACATACCATTAACAATTTGTTTTGACGTTGTAACTCTCTACAAAGTGACTCAAGCTTGTCACGGACAGTAATAGCTACAATAGAAAAAAAAAAAAAACAAATGAGTAGCTGGCTCTGAAAAGCATAGAACAATGGAAAAGTGACAAAATCAACTGGTTTCCTATGTAATGTACCAGAATCTCTTTCAGAAAGGACTTGTTGATACTTGAGCATGAATTCAAGAAACTCCTTTTCTGATTTGAAGACGTTCTTTGAACTCTTACGCTTACTACTCTCAACTGCCTCCTGCTTTCATGTCATCAGAAACATCATCAAACACAGCATAAACGATTCTGTCTGGGCTGTTTAGGAAAAAAAAAAAAATACTAACTTGTTTTCTGGGTTTGACCGAATCCACACTTTGAGTAGAATCCTTGCACAAGTTTGGATTTTGAGTAGACCCTTCTGATACTAACACAAAAAAAAACAAAGACCCAACATTAGGTTACAAAGAAGTAAACGCAAATTAAAAATATATTCTCTCATATCTCACATGTTTGAGGAGGAGGAGATGATTCTTTCTGCTCTAAGCTAAGCTCGCTCGAGACCTTGATTACGTCATCAACCTCTACCTCATCATTACCATCGGTTTCTTCACAGAGCGGAACAGGGAAAGTCCTAGGCTTCTCTACTTTCTCGATCGGGATATTATCATCATTACGATTTTGTTCCTCAGCAGCTCCGTCGACGAATCCATCGGGAAGGGAATCAACTTCAGGGAGCAAATTCGAGTGAGGTGACTCCATTTTGACTCTGGATCTGGGCAACCCCCAACTTTTAACGAATCAGCGAGCGAGATTGAGAAAGCCCCCAATTTTTTTTCAAGTGTGACGGAGATTAAGGCAACTTCTAACGAAAAATAATAACTGTATAGTTTAAAGTTCAATTAATACCAAGACGGCCATTAACCTTTGTATTGTTTTTGTTTAGGTTAGGGTCCTAGCATTTGTTCACAAAAAGAAATGGGGTCCTAGCATTTTACCCAATGTTCAGAATGTGCTGGGCACTAGTCGGACGGCTTGATTGGGCCTAGCGCCTAAAGAAAAAATCGGAGATTACGGGAATTATATATGTTATAATTTTTAGACTATTTGATATGTTATAAGATATATTAATCTTTAATTGTGTATAGCATTAATACATTTTCATATTTAGAATCTTATAAACACACACAAATAGAATATACAAAGTTAATATGATATAATTTCATCAAAATTATAATTTATTAAATTTTAAAACAAATAAAGAGATAAAAAATATTATTAAAAAAATAGATTAGGCGGTCTAGGCGGGTTAAAATCGGACGACCGATTTTCTACGGCGATTTGGCATAAATCGGGGCGGAAGAGGATCGCCTAGCGTCTAGGCAGCCGATTTTTAGAACAGAGATTTTACCACAACCCAACAACTAAATCTTAATGTTTTCACTTAGAGTGGTCGAAATTTAGGTGTGGTTCAAGAGACAACTATTCTTGAGTCGTGAGGAGAGCTTGTTCTCGTACAATAAAGTAAAAGATCGGGTAGCGTAGGATCCATTTATGTGTTCCTAAGTGATACTAGATGACTTTATTTGTAAGTGTGGTTGAATCCCTTGTGGTTACAAATCATGTACTACCTCTTTAGTTAATGATAAGTTGAAGTTGAGCCGGAAAAAAAATCCGAGTCCGGTTTATCCATTTTCACATACATTTTTCAGTTTATAATGGCTAAGTATGTTTCGAATTTTTTTTTTAAAAAAAAATTGAAGGTCGATGGGTACCCGCGATTCAAAATCTACCAACCCGCACCCACTCTACATAAAATACTCATAACCCATATCCGCCAATCTATTTTTTCAAATTGTTCAACCACACCCATCCCGCAGCGAATCAAATGAGGCGGAACCCATGAGTGATGAATCATATTCCCAGCTCTACATATGTTCTTTCAATAAAAGCACACATGTGTTTCTTTTCATCTAATAACCAACAACAAAAGTAAGAAGAGATGAAAACTAAGATCGAGAATTCTTCACAAAGAATGAAAACACACAAAAATTTTAACTGATAGATCCCAAAGTCCACTCAAAAATTAAGGTTAGGATTTTATACTGACGTGTCGAGGAACTACTTTATAAAAACGAATGTCTAGTGGTGATTTTGTATAAAAGTTTATATATTAGCCCCATTCATTTTGTGGACGCAGATTCCAATTAATGTCTACGTCTCTGTTTATCTCTGTATTTATGGTTCTTTGAAAGTAAGATTGCAGAAAAACCACTAAACTGATGTTAATTATAAGAGATCAGATGATTATTGATCGCAAGAATTTCTAGCAGCAGTTACGACTCATAGCGGCTGACTGCTTTTACTGTTACGTGGCATTTGTTATCTCATCACATTATCCGCATCATTTTACACAAGCAGTCGCAATGAGATTTGGAACCCATCAAAAGAACATGGCGATTATTGATTTTGAGAGAGCTTATACAAAGGTGATGAGTCAAAGGGTACATTCATTCAAAAAAAAATGACTCAAAGGGTACAAGATAATTTAGACATAGATATAAATGATAATATCATTTAATTTCATGGGCGGTCGGAGCGTTACATTACTGTTAGACAATCATAATTCTAAATAATTTAATTGACAATTTAGGCAGATATTAAAACATAGACAACAATTTCTAGCAAAATTTCCTAATTTTACCAGAAGTCTCTTGGTCATTATGTCAGAAGTTCCAGTTTAAATGATTGGTAGGATTAAACTAGTATTACATATTGTGATTTCAGATCCGGAAGATTATAGGCTTCGGCCCCAAACCTTCTTGTCTTAAAAAAACTCAATTTCAGTTATTTAATTTTTTGCTTGTAAATGCTTTTGTTGTTGAACTTTTTCTTTTTTATCAAAATTTTTTTGATCAAAAGAAATAGTCACCAATTTTGTTTATTTCCAAAATAAATAGCCCCAAACCTTCTTGTATTAAAAAAAAACTCAATTTCAGTTATTTATTTTTTTGCTTGTAAATGCTTTTGTTGTTGAACTTTTTTTTTTTTTGATCAAAAGAAATAGTCACCAATTTTGTTTATTTCCCAAGTTCAACTACTTATATAAGAAACAGTAAATTTCGTCAAACACTAGTTTATCCTCATAGAAAACAAAGATGAACAAGAGAGAGGTTGTACAAATTCTGAAACAAGAGAATCTTAAAACAAAACAAAACCAATGTCTAATTAGTAGTTTCCATGGTTGGGTGCTTTTTGATTATTCATCGCCCCGTACGTTACAACACCACACACCGTTCGTCATTCAACAAAGATGCCAAACATATATATTCTGTACGTTTGATCACTGGCTCGATTTTTCTTGCACCACACGAGTATTAGGGTTGTTACCCATGCATCCTCTACCTGCATAGCACGGTGCAGTTACATTTGCTAAATACTTCCTTGGCAATGCCATTCCGAATCTCTTTCCCTTTCCCTTTCCCTTTCTTACTCTCTTCTCCTTTTTGACGATGCCTTCATTTTGCTGTGTAGTAGTCTAGTCATTACAATACATATAGATATGAATACTAGAGAGCCTCGTATCTCATATGAATGATGAAGATATATGAATGTGGTTCACTTTTTTTTTTTTGGTCAAAATGAATGTGGTTCACTTTAAATAGATTTGTAAGTCACTTAAATTGTTAATAGATATATGTACCTCTTTTGGCTCTATGATGACACTTTCGGTTTCCATCGACTTTCTTTTGTCTTCACCATCTTTTTCTGCCAAAAGAATGGATAGTTTTAATAACTTCAATTTAATTTGAATCTTAATATGGATCTAAAATCATCAAGCAAACCAAACATATCTAACAAAAGCTACGTGGTATCTATATTGTTTTGATAAAAAAAAATTAGCATTCTCTGTAAAAATAGAAACATATCTAGCAATCATATGCACGTGTGACGTGCATGCATTCTATCATTCCTCCACAAATCTAGATTAAATTTTTTTTTCTTCTTTTTTACCTTTTAATTTGGTACGTATGTATATATGTAAATATAGTAAACGAACATATAACTTACCTTTATCATCATCATCATCATCGTCATCATCAGAAGAAGTAACATTAATGCAATAAACCCTAAAGCTTGGAGATCCAGGACATATCATCCTCTCATCAAAATTGTTCATCCTCCCTTCATCATGATCATCATGATCAAGACCATCATCCCCTTGTTTGTTAACAATGATGTCAACATCACGACCATCATCGTTTCCTTCTTTCTTTGTAGAGATGACATCATCAATTTTCTCATCTTGTTTCTTCACAACCTCTACCCCATCTTTCACATCATTGTCGGAAGAAACCTTCTCATAAATAACTTCTTTCTTCTCTTCCACGTGGTGATCAGGCGCAGGAGCCACCTTAGCCGACAACTTCAAGCTGTCATCCTTCTCCTCCGCCTCTTCTCCGTCCTCAGAGGAGCCGTGCCTAAGAAGCTCCTTCTTAGACTGCGTCTGGCTCCCTTTCAAGACGCTTGCATGGCTCCTTTTCTTCATCTCCTCTAATCTCCGGCGTAGAAGCGGACGTATTCCCTCAGGAAGTGGCACAACGCTGCCCTCACCCGCTCTCGCCCCTGCCGCACCTCCTAGCCTTGAGCCACCGCAACCCATATCAATAAAGCTAACAAATAGATAAGGCCACCAAAAAGATCATACAGCGGCTGTTGGGTGGAGGGAGAAGATTCTTGGAGGAGAGAAGAGAGAGCCAATTTATTGGGTTTGTGATGAATGAAGGATCATATTTTAGGAATCAGCGAAGATTATTAAAGGGGTTGAGATTGTGTGATGGGTTGATTGGTTAGTTGCAATTTATTTGCTATATTTAGTAGATAGTGATTTATTTAGGGCAAATGCATGAGTTGGTTATTAACTTCTTATCTAAGTGACCTAATCATTCTTGTTGTCATTTTTGACTTACAGTTTAGGCTTACCAGAATTTCCAGATAATTTTAATGACTAAATTACTATATATATTCGTTGACGCATTGGTTCAACTATCTTTAGCTTGCATTTTAGAGAATCTTCTTAACTAATTTATTCTTTGTTTATGCTTATGAAGCTCTCCTATGCATATGTATAACACCATATAAGACAAAACAAAAAAAATATTTTATTTATCTTCATTTATTTTTATTACTTTACCATCAGGCAAGAAAGTTATCGAAAATAAGTGGGTTTTTAAGATCAAACTAGATTTTGACCCGCGCTTAAAAGCGCGGAAATTTTTTTTGATTAAAAGTTTATATAATTAGGTTTTGTCTTTATTTAAAGTATGTTTTAGTATAAAATCAGTAATCCAAAATTTGTGGTGATGATTGCTTTGCATTAGTTTTTAGTTTCAGTTTTTATTTTTAGATTTGCTTTAGATTTTGGTTTTTGGTTTTTAATTTTTAAGTTTCTAGTTTTGATTTTCAGCTTTTGGTTTGGGTTTTTAGCTTTTAGATCCGCTGAGTTAGTTTAAACTCATAATTACCAACAAACAAATCTCAAAGAATCGAACATCTAATTTAAAACTGAAAAGATGAGAATTTTTATTTAAAAAAATGCAATAATTTATTTTGTGTAAATAAACAAAACAAAAGTAAAAATATAACATGCGTTTTAACCTTTTGATTTTGGATTTTAATTTTTAGATTTGGTTTTTAGTTTTGCTTTACATTTATTTTTTTTAAATTTAGTAAATTATTTACGAAAAATAAAAAAAAAATAAACTATTATAAAAGTTACCATTGAAATTTATCAAGACAGAGTGATTGTTATTTAAAAAAAAAAAATATATTAACATGTTTTAAAGTACATGATTTAAATAAGTGACTAATAATATATAATTTTGTTTTGTTAAAATATTAAATACTTTTGGGCTTTAAAATAGTAATTGATTTTTTGATCCATTAAGGTAGAACATTTATTCAATGTTTTTTGGAGTTTTTTTTAATACTAAGCCCAAAACCCAAACTATATAATTTGTCATAAAAACAAAAGTAAGTCCAAAAATTTATTCCATAAATAACTCCGGTTTAATTTAAGTAATACGGTTCAATCAACTATATGACTTGTATTATTAGTAACACTCTAGAAAAATCCAAATTTAAATGACAACTTATATAAGTAGATAAAAAGAATGACTCTATTTTAATAGAGTAGATATAACTTGATGGGACAATACGTCATCACGTCTTGTTGCTTGCGGCAATTGTAGACGAGAAGGTTTGGATTATACTGGTGATTTACAAGAAGAATTCTATATGAAACTTCCTCCTGGTTTTAAAGGATCAGATCCGTCGAAATATTTTCTCCTCAAGAAAGCTATTTATGGACTCAGACAAGCTCTTAGATGTTGGTTTGCCAAGCTAAATTGCTTTAGAGACCTACGGTTTCACTCAAAGTAGAGCCGACTACTCTCACTTATCATGTACTCGCAGTGGGACTATTTTACACATTCTCATCTATGTAGATGATATTCTGATCACTGGTAATGCTCTTTCTACAATAGAACGCTTCAAAATCTACTTGAGTACTTCCACACGAAAGACTTAGGTCCGCTCAAATATTTTCTTGGCATTGAAGTCGTTCGCAGTGCATAAGGTATATTTTTCTCTCAGAAAAGTATGTACTCGACATTATTGTAGAAACACGACTTCTTGGCTGCAAACCTGTCTTAGTTCCTATTGAAATCAATCATCAGCTTGCTCGACTAAAAGGTCCGGTTATTGATGATCCTTAAGCCTATAGATGACTTGTTGGTCGTCTGGTATATCTTACATTCACACGACTAGAGCTCTGCTATAGTGTACACATCTTATCACAGTTCATGCACAAACTGATACAAGAACATTGGGATGCTGCCCTCCGTGTGGTTCGTTATCTTAAAGGAACTCCTGGCCATGGTCTTCTCCTTCATTCTGATTCGAATATGCAGGTTACAGTTTATTTCTTGTTCGGTCTTTCAATGTTCTCTCAGTGCCTATATTGTTTTTCTAGGTGACACTCCTATATTTTGGAAGATCAAGAAACAAGATACAATTTTCCTCTTCTCGGCTGAAGTAGAATATCGTTCTATGGCATACACACTGAAGGAGTTGAAAGGGATCAAGAATTTATCCGTCGCCTCTGATGTTCCGCATTCATCTCTTATTATGCGATTACACTATGACAGCAAGTCGGTTATCTACATTGTTACCAACCATGTGTTTCATGAACGAACTAAGTATGTTGAATCTAACTGTTAATTTGTCCGTGATGCTGTGATTGCCAAGTTAATTACGCTCGAACATATCTCTACTAAAGAACAATCTGCAGATCTTCTTACCAAGTCACTGCCGTCTCCAACTTTCCTCTATCTGGTTTCCAAACTGGGTCTTTAAAACATTTTGCCGCCAACTTGAGAGATTATTAAGATAAAGGCATATACTAGTGTTTAAAAAAAAAAGGAATATACTACTAGGATAATGACTTAATATATTTGTACTTATCTATATTCCAATTCTCCTTAGCACTAGGAACTATTCTCATGTATATATACTCTCCGTGATACATCAATAATACACACACACTTTATCTTCATAACAATTACTTTGATTTTTGATTTTTGTTGTCATTCTAGTAACATTCGTTCAATCATACATTGTCAAAGATGTCTCTCTCGAACTATGGGATATTGTGTTTAAGCAAGAAGGAAAAAGAAGAAAAACTGTGATATTGTGAAAATAAGTAAACAAGAACGATGATTTTTGTGGGGTTTGGGATGCAATACGGGTATCATCCATCTTTACAGTATTGATTGGACATAATTTGCGACTTGATCAAGCATCTATAACTAAGAATTGGGCCTTTTATAGGCCTTTAATGGACCTTTGACTCAATAACCAAGCAAGCGGCGCCTTGTTTTATTCTGGTTTTAGGGTTACAGTCTTCTCTAAGAAATTCGATTCCTCTTCTTCGTCGTCGTCGAGCAGAGTAGTCAGCTATCTACCGCCATGGATCCTAGCCTCGCTAATAACCCTCAACTAATTCAATTCCTCACTGTAAGTCTTATGTTCGATATAACCTAAATAGTTTATATTCTCAGCTCAAGGTGTTAGGATATAACCTAAATAGTTGTTTTGAGATGTTAAGACTATAAAACTGTGTAAGTAGTAGCTGTCTTCATGTCATGACTGGATCATATTCATGAGATGTAGTATGATCTTACCAGAATTGTTTGATGTTTTATTTATGCAAAGATTTGAGTGTGGTTTTTTTTTTTTTAATGTGGGAACTATACAGCAAGAACAAGAAAGGGCAAGGGCGAACGAAGTGGTGGCGAAGATAACAAGCTCGTGCTGGGACAAGTGCGTGGAAAAACCAGGGAGCAAATTCAGCTCGAGCGAGACTTCTTGCCTTAGTAACTGCGCCCTACGCTACATGGATTTGACTATGCTCATCATGAAACGCTTTCAGCAGTAGTGATCCTTGATTATCATGGACCATTATGTTGCTTCTTCCCTTTAATTATTATTATTGTGAAAACTTTTTTTTTTGGCTCTGCTCATGTTGGCAACTGGTGTTGAACCCTCCTGCAATAAAAATCTTTCGGATTTGAATTTTTTGTAGTATTCTGTTTTATGATAATGTGATTGAGGTTTTTATTTGACGTGCTAGTGAATAAGAAGTGTAGTACAACTTTATTGACACACTGAGATTATGGTGAAATGGGCACATCTTTGGATAAATTATCATGAATGATATATATTGTTTTCGTTCATAATATTTAGCTCAATATTCATAAGTCTCTTTTGAATGTCTGCTTTTCAATTACCAAATGAATGCATTAAAAGATTGATAAGCTTGGTCTGGAGTAAACAAAAATGGAGGGCTCGGTATTATATCACTAAAAGAAGCAAATAGAATAAGTTGTTTAGAGCTGGTATATGAAAATCTCATCTTATCCAAATTCATTATCGAGTTCGCTAGATACAGAGCACTCAAACTAAAAGGAATGTTTCTTATGTACGGCTAAAGTATCATCGAACAAAAGCATTTGAATGTGTAGAAAACTCTTAACTTATAAAGAACAAGCCAAGTCCCTTTCAAAAAAAAAGCAGTTAAAGATGAAATAACTGCTTCATTTGGCTTTTATGCAGCTGTTTCAAAGTGAGACTACACGGCTCAAAAACAATCTTGTGAAATAATATCTTCAAGCAGCAGTATACAAACATCTTGAGGGAACACAATGTAAGAAAACATGATAAAGTTACCAAAGCAATGGATCCAACTAGTCAAACTGATTGACAAGCTGATAAAAAACAAAGCAATAGCAATCAGAACAACAAGAGGCTACATACTATACATGTGTTGGAGATGTGGTTTGGCACAAGACCAATTTATTAAGTCAAAGCTTCGTTTATTTATAAGAAAAAAATTCATTCAGATAACTTGTACAAAAATTAAACAAGCAGTAATAATTAAAATATAGTATTATACTTAAAATTAATTTAAATAAATACTTTGGTTCCCACCAGTTCTGAGAAGAATCAGAAACCACCAACTCCACTCACTTATATATTAAAAACATCATATATATAAGTGAGGTAGTATAATATTATTTATTTTGTTAAAAATATAAAAATGTATGATGAAAATTTATAACGTGTTAACCGTTTACATGTTGAGAAATCTATTTAATATTATAAAATATAAATTAATATTTCTAAAGATTATGAATATGTTTACAACATAATTATTATATTTACAAATACAAATAACTAAATAGCTAATAAGATAACATAATATATAATTTTGCTCTGTACTCAGAAAATATCATTTTTTTTTATTTTCTCTTTAAGTTGTATAAAATTTTAATATTAACATATTTGTTATAGTACAGATTTTTGTTACCATTCACCTTTTTAGAAATAACAAAATTAAGATAGTCATTTGCCAAATTCTTTTGGTATTTACTTTATGTTAATTTTAAAACTCTTNTGATTTACATTTTATTTTGAAATAGATCATTTTTGTTAATATTGATTTATGGCTTAAACATTATATATTAAGCTTATACTGATTTACATTTTATTTCTTTTCTAAGAAATAACAAATTTAAGATAATTAGTTATTTTAATGTTAATTTCACAAATCTGTAATATAGTAAAGTTAACTTATATATAATGTTTTTACTTTTTTAAGTTTACCTGATACATATTTATTTTTTATTTTGAAATTATAGTTTTGGCAACGTTAACATTTTTTTTAAATAACAAAATAAAAAATTATGTATCATGATATGATTGGTTTTTTTTAATTCTATGTGAAAGTTTTCTATGGCTTATAGCCTCAATTTTAAATAGTATATAATATATATATATATATACATTACTATTCATTTTTTTTAAGAAATAGTAAAATTAAGATAATTATTTGACTAATTATTTTTGGTAATTATTTTATGTTATTTTCGTAATTATTTTATATATTAAGTTAACTTACATATGATTTTTTATTTTTTTAAGTTTTCCATATTTGATATTGATTTATATTTTATTTTGGAAATTATTTTTTTTTAATATTGACTTTTCCAAAAATAGTAAAGTTAAGATAATTTGTTATTTTAATTAATTTCGAAAATCTATAAATATTAAAACTAAATTATATATATTGGTTTACTTTTTTAAGTTTCCCTTATACATATTTATTATTATTATTTTATATTTAGTAACATTAACATTTTTAAAATAAGAAATAAAAAAAACTTATGTATGATGATATGATTGCAAG